CTGCTCTCCCCACGCTGGCCTTGGGAAGTTGTGCCTACAACTGCTAACCCTATTTTGTCACAATTACTACTGTGAGTAGAATGAGTCTGGCTCTGAGGGGAGAAGGAAGATGTTGGAGCATTAAATCCCTGGATCCATCCCTTCCTCACTCCAGAGCGTTTCACCCAATGTCAATGTCATCCACCTGGTCCAGTCTCTAGTGCATTTGTCACTTCTGCCTGCCTTGAGCCCCTTCCCACTGCTCCTGGTTACAAAACCTTGGTTTTCCTGTGGGAACCATCTTTTCTTCCTCCCAATCTGGGAAGCTCAGGTAGGGTGACCCTGCTCCAAAGCTCCAGAAGTGAGCTGATGACTGAAAGTAGTATTGGTCAGTCCTTCCAGTTTGGGTCCAACCCCCAGCCACTCTATAGGTGCAGGGGTGGGTGCGTGACCTAAGCCTGGCCAAGTCAGAAAAATCCCTGGGGGACTTCCCTGGTGACACAGTGGTTAAGAATCTGCCTGCCAGTGCAGGGGACACGGGTTCGAGCCCTGGTCTGGAAAGATCCCACATGCCACAGAGCAACTAAGCCCGTGCGCCACAACTACTAAGCCTGCGCTCTAGAGCCCGCAAGCCACAACTGCTGAGCCCATGTGCTGCAACTACTGAAGCCCCCACACCTAGAGCCCGTGCTCCACAAGAAAGAGAAGCCAACGCAATGAGAAGCCCGCGCACCACAACGAAGAGTAGCCCCTGCTCGCCGCAACTAGAGAAAGCCCGTGCGCAACAACGAAAACTCAACGCAGCCATAAATAAATAAATAAATTAGAAAAATCCCTGGGGTCCTTTTTGTCAAGAAATTGCTTTAAAAAAAAAAAAAAGCGCTTGCTTCCTGTTGCGTTATATCTGGTAGAACAGAAGCTTAAAGCTTTGCCAGTGCTTGAGAACAGGTTGCCTAAAATGAAGCCAGCATAGAGAAAAGCAGCCTGATCTGGAGTGAGATTGTTACTGAAGAGAATTTTTGAACTGCAACACCAAGCTTTATCTCATCTACTCATCAGTCTTTTAGTTTCATAGGTCAAATGCTTCTCCTCTTCATTAAGCTAATTTGAGTTAGGTTTTTGTTACTGACTCCACTTATGCTGGTTATCTTACTTATCTTACACCTAGGAGGGTGTTTCAACTCACATTTAATGTCTTTCTTTCTCCATTTGTTTCAGCATTTTCAATGATAATTTTCTCAGCATTTATAAGGTGGGAATGAAGTTTGGTGCTGGGGATATAAAGAGGAATAGGAGACTCTGCCACCCTCTCTCAATGCAATAAGGGAAATGAATGTACAAATAGAATTGTTGTTGTTGTTGTTGTTTGTTTTTGGCCCTGCAGCTTAGTTCCCAGGGAGAGGGATTGAATTCATGTCCCCTGCAGTGGAAGTGCAGAGTCCTAACCACTGGACCGCCAGGGAAGTTCCAACAGATAGAAAATTTTTAGGAAATCTTGATAAATACCATGGCAAACCATTCCCAAGGTATCAGGAGTGAGGAGGGACACCCAGTGCAACTCTTATATAGAGTGGCTTTATGAGAGACATCAGACAAGTTTTCCTGAAAGAAGTGCTCACTCACGTTAGTCTTAAGGATAAGGAGTTTTCCAGGTAAAGGGGGAACACTGAGGGGTGGAAAACATTCCAGGACAGAGCCAAATGGGCAAAGTCATGACTATTAAAAAGAGCATGGGAATACTGGGAGAGCAAGTGGCTCATGCAGCTGGAGCTCACTCTGCGAGCAAGGAGAGGGGAGAGACTGAGGCAGGAGCAGGTGGGAGGGCTCAGACACTGGAGGTCATGTGCCCAAAGGATTCTGCTTGTCCATCAAGACCC